CATATATTATGTAAAGAAAAACTTTTATTTTCTTTTATTTTGGATGCGATTAATCGTTTGACAGCACTAAAAAAAAAAACGAAATAACAATATAAAATATATTATACATAAAATTACTTGTGTATCACATACACATACAAATTGTTGTGTATCATATTGAAGTAGTGGGTAAATTATTATTATAATTAAAAGTAATTTTTATCACGGTTAAAGGGGTCTCTGTCCGAGAACAAAAAAATAATAATATAAATATAAAAATATAATATACAAAAAATAAAATTATAAATTACAACATAAAATATATTTATTATACATAAAATTACAAAAAATGCCAGCATCAAGTAACTTTATAGCTTTTTATAAAACGCCCACTAAGGCACCAGTGCTCATGAAATTAGAATATATAATTCTAATTCCATATTTTAGACCTGACGAAACGCTGTTTTAAACATAGAATCTGTCAAATCTTAATTTACCGATACAGACGTATGGTCAAGTAAAAGCAGCATCTTGTGTGTGCATCTGAAGTGTGACACTGATGAAGCAGATGCGTGTTCTCGCCGCAGGAGCAGGTCAGCTGAGGTTTGAGCGAGAGACTCAGAAACATTCTGCAGCGTCAGCAGAGCTGAAATATCCTGCAGCGTTTACTCAGGAACACACTCAGGCGTGTCTGCTATGCTCAGGGATCTCCAACAAACAACCGCGGCTAAGAATAACCCGTCTGAAGCGTCGCCGCAGTCTCTGAAGAACTTCACTGATGTGCTTTTTGACCCTGTAGATGTTCTCACTCAGAAGCTCAGTACAATTACAGAAAGAGCGTCTCTGGAGCTGCGCCGGACTTTAATTAAACAGACCAACTCCAGAGAGCATCTTTGGAACAACATCTCAATTAATTACAAAACCGCCGCCAAGATGCAGCAGACCGACCTTCTCTGGTCCTCTCAGCTAATATCCAGAGCATATCTGCATTGATTTCCCAGCAAAAACATCTGTATCAGGATGCAGTGATTACATTAGTGTTACTCAAATGCATCTATACCTGACTGAGACAGCAGCATTAATCCACAGAACGTTCCCATAATGTTTTTTTTTAACTTTCAGTATGTTGCAGGGAGGTTTGGTTTTTGTGAGAGCAAAAGGGAATGTTCCCTACAGGTTATTTTTAGGTGCTGAAGAAATGTGAAATCTGGATTATTACAGTAAATATACTAGAAAACCGCCTATATAAATGAACAAGTTAAATCTTACATATGAATTAATTCCAGTGTTTGATGGTTGATGCACTCGGATTATTTCACTAATTAAACAATAGATCAAAACAAGACATGTTTGTATAGTTCTGATTATTGGCATTCATTCATTCAAAGCGTATCCTATAAAGGTTCGCGAGAGCGCTGGAAGATTACTGATGCACAGCAGGGTAAAATAATATTGGAGTAAAGAGGTTAGAGGAATGTTAGGACAATGTTAGCTGAAAGTTAGTAATGTTCTGCAAACCTAAAACAAAATTCTATTTCCATGAAGAGAACTATCCAGGGGAGTATTTCCCAAAAGCAACTATGGTCGCAAGTTCCGCCGTTACCAATAGAGTTCAATAGAACTTACCACTATAGTTAGCTAACGATGCTTTTCAGAAACGCACCCCTGGATAATTCTCTTCAACCAAAAACGTTCAGGGAACCAAAAACTAACATTCCGGAAACCAAAAAAACATTAACAGAACGTTCTGGGAACAACAAAAAAAAAAACATTCTGGGAAGCAAAATCTAACATTCTTGGAAACAAAAACTAACATTCCCAGAACGTTCTGGAAACAAACAAAAAAAAGTAACATTCCCGGAGCATTCTGGGAACCAAAAACTAACATTGCCGGAAAATGATTGGAACCAAAAACTAACATTCCCAGAACGTTCTGGAAACAAACAAAAAAAAGTAACATTCCCGGAGCATTCTGGGAACCAAAAACTAACATTGCCGGAAAATGATTGGAACCAAAAACTAACATTCCCAGAACGTTCTGGAAACAAACAAAAAAAAGTAACATTCCCGGAGCATTCTGGGAACCAAAAACTAACATTGCCGGAAAATGATTGGAACCAAAAACTAACATTCCCAGAACGTTCTGGAAACAAACAAAAAAAAGTAACATTCCTGGAACATTCTGGGAACCAAAAACTAACATTGCCGGAAAATGATTGGAACCAAAAACTAACATTCCCAGAACGTTCTGGAAACAAACAAAAAAATGTAACATTCCTGGAACATTCTGGGAACCAAAAACTAACATTGCCGGAAAATGATTGGAACCAAAAACTAACATTCCCAGAACGTTCTGGAAACAAACAAAAAAATGTAACATTCCTGGAACATTCTGGGAACCAAAAACTAACATTGCCGGAAAATGATTGGAACCAAAAACTAACATTCCCAGAACGTTCTGGAAACAAACAAAAAAATGTAACATTCCTGGAACATTCTGGGAACCAAAAACTAACATTGCCGGAAAATGATTGGAACCAAAAACTAACATTCCCAGAACGTTCTGGAAACAAACAAAAAAAAGTAACATTCCCGGAGCATTCTGGGAACCAAAAACTAACATTGCCGGAAAATTATTGGAACCAAAAACTAACATTCCCAGAACGTTCTGGAAACAAAACAAAAAAAAGTAACATTCCTGGAACATTCTGGGAACCAAAAACTAACATTGCCGGAAAATTCTTGGAACCAAAAACTAATGTTCTGGGAGCCAAAAACTAACATTCCGGGAACCAAAAAAACGAACAGTCCCAGAACGTTCTCAGAACATTCTGGGAACCAGATCTTAAGGCCTGTTTGTTCCCGCTAATGAAGACGCTGCAGATGTGATTAGTATGCAGTCCTGCAGGGAGAGATGAATGCTTGGGCTCTTTATTACCATCACACTCTTTTATCAAAGGCTTCAAATGAAATATTGGAGCGATCTATAATTCACCCGGGAATCGATCGGGCTTTCATAGAGCACAGGAATAGAACAGGAACTCTTGGCTGGATCCATTAGATGTTCTGACCGCAGTGTTTACGTCACATCATTTACAGCGCTCGTGTTTGTCTGAAATGCTAATGGCTTTCTACAGTTAAAAGACCTCAAACCACAACAGCCAATCAGACGACAGCAGAACCACACCCTGCTTAGCAAACACATGCGATGTACATTGAGCTGCTTGTACAGAATAAACCAGCATGATCTCAGGGCGTCTGGGTCACCACGGCGTTAATAACTAGGGGTGCTCCGATTGATCGGCTACAGATCACTATCAGCCGATAATCGTGCTGGGATGTTAAATCTGATCTAAAAAAACGATCCCAAGCTGATGATGCTGATGTGAGAGGTTTGGCACGACATGCAGCGGCACCGTCGCAGTATCTGTCCGGCGCGGGTGAAATAATTATAATGCTGAAGGTGAGGTACAATTCATATTTCTTCATTAAATAACGTATAAAGTAATTTGAAAACTTTCTGTGAGACATAATTTCACAGTCAGCATTAGTGAATCACCTCACTCTCTAGCTCTTTCTCTCTCAAAACGCACAAATGGCTTCAAATCCCATCACGTCTGCACTATAAGCGAGCTGCACAGTTGACACAGGAATTATCACTTGCACAATCGAGGTAGTGTCACATCGTCACTAAAGTTTATAAATTGCATTACTTTTTAATTCTTGGCAGTTTAACCATTCAGTGCTCACGCGCTCTCCTGGAGACTGAGCTCATGCACACTCGCAGCGCACACACATAACGCCAGGTTCACACACACACTCCGTTTGCAGTGCGTATTTTTTCCAGATTAATAAAGCATGCACACGGTTGCGGTCCAGCAGTGTGTTCAGGAGCGTTGAGTCTGCAGCATTGCAGAGATCGTTTCCACACAGAGTCTATTTTTGCTGCGCTGCAAGTCTGAATTAAAGTAACAGCGCATTGTTTGCAGTAAATATGAACACTGATTGACACGAAAATGTAGTAATTACACCATAAATGCATATAATTAAATTCAACTGTGTTTCACAGTCAGGCTTTTTGGCTGGATTTAAAGGAAAAGAGCACTTTTAGATAAAGAAAGCAATAATAGATGGCACTCGTGGAGGTAGAAAGTTCTTTATGAACCGCAGGATTGCTTGTAATACAGATTTAAATGCAAAAGAAAAGGCAGTAGAGCTGACTATTTTTGTCAATGGTAAGTTTGTGATAACGTAAGAAAAGTAGTTTAAATGTTTGCCACTTGCTTGAGCAACTTAATATATAAATCTAGAAGTAAAT